GGGGGGGGGGGGGGGGGATTTAGTTGCTACAATATAGGAGAATTCCCTATATATAAATGCTTCCCTTTTATTATCCCCTCCACTATGAAACCCGAAATCAATAACTCGGTCTGTATTAAGTTCACTGCTTAGGGGCTTTGGTGGTACAATCCTCAGAACAAGCATTGTTCACCTCTGAGATTGTGGGTTCGATTCTCACATTGCATTAATGACACTTGTGTGAAAAGAGTTAGTCAACACTCTACCAAAAGTCTGGTTTCCTACCACAGGGAATGTTGACAGGGTTGGGATTAGCCTAGGGTGGCTGCCAGAGTGCCCTTAGTGAGCCTTCGACTCGATCAGGTTGAGCTACGTCCTTTGCAATTCGGCTCAGCTCTCAGCTGCAAGTAAGCATGATTAGTAGCTAGTACATGCAAGCAAGGATGATTAGATCCTAATTCCATTCCTACTAGTATACTCCCAATTATTCACTAGCTTACTTAACAAGTTACTAAATTAATGGATTATTGAAGCTTTTTGTAGATTGAAATTTTGAGTGTACATTTTATACATTTATTAGACCTAACGTAAACCAGGAGCAGTTGCAAAAGAATGCAACTGTATGCCCTCTGGTAGGAATCAGACATGATGTGGCCATGTGAATGCGATTCCAGTGCAGCGCTCTATAAGCTGTACATTTGTAGATGGAAATTTTGAATATGTCTATCCAGGAGCAGTTGCAAAAACTTCAACTATAGGCCCTCTGGCAGGAGTGGAACCTGTGGCCCATGACCTTGCAGCTAGGGCTCGACAACTAGAATCTTTGCTCTCATGGCTTGCCTTATTCTCGAAATTTCATCTATAAAAAACCTTCAACACTTAGTTCTATCGAGTGAGATGCCCCAAATCTTGATAATAATATTCGTTTCATGTTTCAAATTTTGTTTTAATAATTATTAGCCACCAACACAAACGAGAAAAACGTTTTGGTTCCAGACCATAGAATTCCAGTTGATGTTGGAGGAATGAAAGATCATGTCAACCAATAATGAACTATCAGATACTCAGCGTATGTTATTGCATGCCATTATGTTTTCGAGTCTTCTATCCACTCTTTGTGATGGAATTTTTAGTTATGACTTATGTGGACCATGTCAATCAGAGTTGTTTTGTTGGCAGAGGTTAAAAATTGTTATCTTAATTTGTATAGATGTTTGCATGATTGTAGTCGTAGCTTATATATTGTAAATATTTATAATTAATAATTTTAGCTATTATTAAATTTGTGAATTGTACACTCAGATATGTTGCTTCTTTTATTTATTTTTTATTCCAATTAGATCTGTGATCTGAGACCAAGCTGAACAAAGTTGTGTATTTGCAAGCTGTGTAGCAAGCAAAAAGGTGTGTTATTTTGCACACCTTGCAAGGTGTGTAAAAAAGCACGGCTTAAGGTGTGTAATTTGTTCGCCAGAGATTCAGGGCAAAATACACACCATATGCTGTGTAAAAATACACATCTTTTTGAAAAACATGCCTTAAGGTGTGTGAATTTGGCGACAAGCAAAAAACGCAAAAAATACACCTTTACCTTGCAAATACACACCTTAAGGTGTGTAAAAATACACATCTTTTCCGCAAAATACACACCTTAAGCTGTGTAAAAAAACACGCCTTAAGGTGTGTGAATTTGGCGACAGAAGGTGTGTTGAAAATACACACCTTATTTTTTAGAGTGTGAGATTAATTTTAAGCTTTAAATGAGGTTAAATTTCAAATGAGTTACGAAGTCAAAAGAGGAACGCTTCACGTAGTTTACCTGTAATATATTGTAATATTCTGTTCATACAAAGGTCAAAGTCAAAGATTGCAAGTATATGTAGTGATTTCGCGTTTGTTATGACTTTATTATTTATATGAGTTATGGCAGTTTAGCCCTCTGAGTTTAGCCTGATCACATGCAGACAGTGCTATAAAACAAGACTTTTGAAAAGCTCAGAATGTTTTCTTTCAAAAGATAGGTAAGGGACCATTCATTATTTATGACTGGGGGTGGGCTGGCAAAAAAAGGGGGTGGGTCATGAGGTATTTTTGACCGAAAAAGGGGGCCACCTAAAAATATTGGTTCAGAAGGGGGGGTCCAGTTATTTATTATAGTGGTATTATAGTGGAGAAAAAATTGACATGTAACGATTATTGCTACCACAGGGAGCGAGCAAGGCAGCAAATTTAATTCATGTAGCTAGCAAAATTCTCAATTTTAATCAACAGATGGACCCAAAATGCAATACATTATATTAGTATTTGAATACCCAAAATGCAATGCGAGCAGCTAATATGAAAATTAATCGAACATCTACCTTATAACTTTTGCCATGAACTTGCCATAAATTTTTGTCATATTTCAATATTATGTACATTTTAGTAAAAAAAGATTTAATTAACGAGTAAGCGATGTAGCAACATTACGTCCAGGGAACGTTTGGCATATACTATATACACCAGTTTATACTAGGTACAAACCTGCCAACCCTTGAGTAGCAGAAATAGTGAGTTGCTATCTAAAAAGTCGTGAGATTGACTGAAAAATCGTGAGACTCAGAAATTTTCAGGTTTGCTCATTAATATATGACCAGGGTTAACTTTAACAACACTAGAAAATAATCAATAGATATCTTAGGATAGTATATATATGCATTTATATTTTGTTGTAATATAACCATAATGCAAGGCTTATTAAAAATAGGCTGTTTTTTCTTTATGGCTTCAGTGGCTTCCAGTGTCAAGTCTCACGAAATAATAGCATATTTCTTTTTCCACGGGTGCTTGGAATCACTTGTGGTTTTAGCAGAGATATTGCCGAAAATCGTGTGATTTGGGGACTTAATCGTGAGATCGTGAGAAAGCATAAAAAATCGTGAGTCTCACGGTTGAATCGTGAGACTTGGCAGGTCTGTAGGTATTTTATTCAGTGTCAAGTCCGAGTCAAATCCGGTTTACAGTGTCAAATCCTAGTCAAATCCGAGCCCGAATCACTAGCTGTTTAGCGGTCTTTGTAGTTCATTGACGTAGTACCCTAACCCTACTCCTAACCCAGGGCTGTAGCAACCGGGCGCGCTGGGGAGGCTGCAGCCCCACAAATAATTTGCTAATAATCATACTTTTTCCAAAAACATGCAGACCTTTATCATTGAAATAATATACCTTTAAAGTTAAAAATACTGACAGTGACAATTGATTAATTTTAAGTGGCTGCCGCTACATTATCATCCATGACAAACTGCAAAGAATTAAGATATTTCTCATACTTTCCTGCAACTTATCCAATATATAGTTAATTAAATACGCCTTCGCCCATTTAGTGCTACTAAATTGTAAATTTCGGCATACTAAAATGCTGTTTTCTGTCAAATCTAATCCCCCAAAGTCCAGGAAATGGCACTTCAGAGACTCTAAATTTTAAAAATTTCCTCGGGCCTTTGGCCCTCGCTTTCCGGCTCCCGAATCAAAAAGAGCTTCCTACGGCACTGTAACCATACTCCTACTCCTAACCCTATCACTTCTAACCGATTTCACTCGTCAACGGGGAGGGGGGTACTATTTTTTAGAATTCATGTGAAGGGGGTCATTGAATTAACGCCTTCGCCCATTTAGTGCTACTAAATTGTAAATTTCAGCATACTAAAGTGCTGTTTTCTGTCAAATCTAATCCCCCAAAGTCCAGGAAATGGCACTTCAGAGACTCTAAATTTCAAAAATTTCCTCGGGCCTTAATTTGGTCCTCGCTTTCCGGCTCCCGAATCAAAAAGAGCTTCCTACGGCACTGTAACCCTACTCCTACTCCTAACCCTATCACTTCTAACCGATTTCACTCGTCAACGGGGGTGGTTTACTATTTTTTAGAATTCATGTGAAGGGGGTCATTGAATTTTTTTGTGATGCAGGGGGTGGGGCAGGACATTTCGTTTAGTTGTTAATTGAATTTTGCCAGCCCACCCCCGGTCATAAATAATGAATGGTCCCTAAATAAAGTTTCAACAACATTACATGCATGTAAACAAGTATATTTCAAACGTATAGTTTACATGAATGACAAAATTTGTTATGCCCGTTTATGCCCGCTCAGTCATCCTTGCAAGTGGAAGCACTGGTTTTGATTGGTTTGAAGCGCGATTATTTAGGCGGGAAATTAGACTTGTTTACGTTGCCTAACAGTTCATACACCTTTATACAGTTAACTTCATCGAAACTTTCTTTACGTTAACGTCGTTGTACTCAAATATCTAAACTGTCTAGAATATACTAGAGTCAAGAGAGTGGAGAGTGACTAGATATAAAGTCTATAAAGATATCATACCAGTATTTTGTAAGTATTTTCAATTTTTTATACAGTAATATTTTTTATTATTTGGCATTCCCTGACTAGTTTGCATCGTGGCTGAACTACTTGAACTGCTGAAGGAGTCAAGCCATTTCTGGATATATATGTGTGTAGAGCCATGCCGCGTATATACGTAGAGGTGAAACGGAAAATTTACCGGCTGAGAGTCGAAAAAATATATGTCTATAATCTATATTGCATTGTATTTCATTTTTTGGCACTGAACTAAAAATTGTACTGCTCTTAGCCAATCACAATTGAGAAATTTTTTCATGTATATTATTAATAAGCTTATTAATTTTATAATTAGACTATAAACTTTGCTGTTGGGTCGGGAATCTCAGCATTGTAAAGTCGGGAATCTCAGCATGTCGATCATACTAACAGATGTTTGATGGAAATGAATTGGATTTTGGCAGACACATTTCTCTCCTCCATTTGCCTGACAAAAAAACAGACTATATATAGTTTGTTTCTTCAACTAGTTTGTACATTTGTATATATTTATATTTAAGAAATAGAAAACATTTTCCGTGTTCCTATAGAGTTATAGAAACACGCGTGAAAGTTTGGGAGAAACGAGAAATTGCGTGGGAACACGAGCACGAAGTGCGAGTGTTTCCACGCAATTTCGAGTTTCTCCCAAACTTTCACAAGTGTTTCTATAAACTCTATAGGAACACGGAAAAATGTTTTCTATTTCCTTTATTAAACAGCCTTTTAAAAACAATAGAAAAGATAAATTTATTGATTTTAATTGCTTTCATTGAAATATTAATTCCACCTTAATATACGTTCGTGTAAAGAATAATTATAAAAGCATAGCGAAGTAAACAAGTATATCGCTAACAAAACAACAGACAGCACTTATGTACGAGTCAATTCCAACCGCGATCAGCCCCTCCCCCCGGGCAACCCCAGGGCATTTGACTTAACATTACCCCCGTATAGGCGGGAATTTGACGGCCCGATCGGGCACTTGACAACTTGCTCAGCGGTTTTCCCTGAAAATATGTGTACATTCTAGCGCTTCACAAGTTTTCTATTTTGTGTCTTTTCGATAGTTTAAACAAAAAGAAGAACTGTCTGGCCTATTTTTCGTTCTTTTTAATCTTGAAATACTTGTTAAATTTAATTTTAGGCAAAATTCCAGAACCAGGACTACCTCTATAGCAGGGCATTTGACTGTGGTTTCTGCCTGTTTGGGCGGGCATTTGACCAATTATTTTTTCAAAAGTCAAATTCCCGGGGGTTGCCCTGGGGGGGGGGGCTGATCGCAGTTGGATTTGACTCGTACATTAACAGGCTTACTTCAACGTACATGCTTGCATGCAAAGAAAGCACTGTTTTAAATAGTTAGTGGACGTTTAAACATGATTAAAAACTATAGTAAACATGATTAAAAACGTCGCGAGGAAATATTTTTTTAAAAAGACAAAGTAAAATTAAAATATTTTACCTTCGTCTCGACCTTGGTAAACAGTCAAACAAATACAACGTGTGCTATAATTATACTTCGTGCTTTAGGTCTTCGCTTTCTAAGTTAGCAAAGTGTTGCTTTTTTTTGTAACGGTTCTTCGGCGTTTCGGGACGTTTTTCAACTTTTTTCAAAATTAAATATTGTTTGTATTTTGTCTTTCAAACTCCCGCGCAATCCATGCACGCAACCCGCGTGAAAATTCCCCGTGTTTCTATCGAGTTATAGAAACACGGGTTTTTTAGCTTTTGACCAATCAGCGCCTGTGTTTTTAAAAGGCTATTTTATAAATATATATATTTCACACAGTATATTAAAAAGTGTTACATAACAGAGTTCAAACCCTCAATTTTCTAATCACTGTTTAACTACCTTATACACAATAGACGAGTAAGGTTGCAGGCATGTGATCCTGAAAAATTAAAAATGCGTTGAAAGTGCTTTGGATGGATGGATGGATGGATGGATGGATGGATGGATGGATGGATGGATGGATGGTCTGTCCGGACTGTCCTTATCCGGCCACAACAAGAACAAATTTTACCACCCCTAATCCTCCTTATAATAGGTTAAAAAGCAAGCTCATATGCACATCAATTTAAATTATATCCTAGGGGGTGGAAACAAAAAACCTATTATATCCTAGGGGGTGAAAACAAAAAACCTATTATATCCTAGGGGGTGAAAACAAAAAGCCCTCAATAGGTCAAAACATGGTTAAGAAATCCAAGGGGGTTGAAAATTACAACGCAAGGAAAAAATCCAGACGGGTCTTACAGTAGAAAATATCCAAGGGGGTGTGGAACCTTAACCCTCAATAGGGGGAGGGGGTGCGCTTATTAAATGGAATGGCCCAATCAGGCCGATTAGTTTTAAGAACATTTTAAAACGTTTTGCGAAGCGTTTGTGGTTGAATTTTACATTAAATTGAAGCTTATATTACGTATAATAACATACCTAGCATATCTATGTTTGGGAAATTGATAATTTTGTTATTAAAAGTGATATTTTGGGGGGATTTCTCAATTTCAAAACTATTCTTAAAATTATCGTGTTACCATGACAACTACTTTCAATTCTTCATATTCAGAAAACAGAATGTTTTGTCAGTAAGGCGAGGGTTTTTGCATGCATGTATTTTCTAGTTATAATGATGCTGCATGGTTATTCGTGTAGCCCAATCGTTCATTATTCGTTCTTTGTTTCTTAGCTACAAACAATTTTTCCACTTTTTCTTTCCACTGCAACATGCAAGATCTAGATTGCTGGGCATTATATTTAGGTTTTGAAGTGCATATTCTTTAATAACTCTTCCGTACTGTCATGCAGTTGCCAGTGAAAATTGGTTGCTCAAAGTATGGCGGATAGTTCGCTATTGTGCTAAGGAGCATGGTAAGTCATCTTTGTTTGAGCTATTTTATCCAGGAACGGTTTTGGGGGGTGGTATAGGGATTATTTTAAGGTGCGTTGAGTGATGACCAATTTGTGCAGTATATTAATAAATTAGACTTGTGCAGTTATTAACGCAATTTATCCATGATTAATATATTTTCAAATTGTACCGTGTGCCTATATACCTATTAGGAAATATATAGCCAAATACACAAATACGACGTTAATCAGACTATTATGAATTTAAATGTCATGAATGTTATGTGTATCGTGAATTAACATCCTCAATGAACAGATTGTAGTTGTTCGTTACACGCAGTGATAAAATTTCCTCAAAATAACCCCGGATATAGCCTCCGCCACAGGTATCTCTATAGAGTTAGGGTTAGGTTTTCCGACCATCCAAACCCTAGACTAAAAAATGCCTGCGGAGTGGGCTATACCCATGATAAACAATCCCACATTCCAGTGTCTCATCTCGGTTATATACAGTATTCCGCACTATACCAACTGTTTTTGAAACAAAACGATGCACAACGCAATTTTATTACTGGGATGGACATAACAAAGAAGTTAAATTTAAATCTATTTGCTCTCGACTCTGCGGGAGGAGATTTAGTGTCCGTTGTGCACAGTAATGAGACCCGAAATGATAGAGGTTATTGCATAAAAAAATAAAATTTTGTTGTCACATATAGGAAACGTTCCGTGTTGCCATGCATAGTTAATAGAAGGTATATACAGAGGTTTTTCGTTCTACTGTTATTGTTATAGGATTTTTTCTAGCCCGCGTGCAGGCCCAGGGGAAGAATAGTACAAAATACCGGGCCTTGCTTGCAGGCCCACTATTCTTCCCTTGGGCCTGCACGCGGGATAGATTTTTTCCGCCAACAACTCTTCAAGTTGCCATTGGCATTGCTGACAGAATTATTGATCAAATACAAGACTGGTTCGCCAAGGTGTTTGAATTTTATAGAGAAATAGTTCCAGCCAAAAAAGTATATTAATTAATATTGGTTAACTAGTTTAAGGTGCAGGACACCCTTTTGGGCGTTTTGTGGAAAATCGCTACTGCGCGTTCAATATCAGTCCGATTATATTTTCATTAAATTTTCACCAAATGTTCGCCAGTGCATGCAAAAGATGATAAAGTTGTAAAATTGACAAACAATAAAATAATGTAAGAATTATTCAGGAACATCTTAAATCGTGGTACCCGTTTAATATGTTTTTTGAGTTGTTTTCCTGCTGGGTTTTAAGATGTAATATATGAACAACGAGAGCGAGTTTTCACCGGGATATCCAAACACGAGAAAACAATGTATGAAAACACGAGCGCGAAACGCGAGCGTTTTCATACATTGTTTTCGAGTGTTTGGATATCCCGGTGAGAGACGAGCCAGAGTTTATATGGCTTCTCAAATGAATCGAGACGTAACAGAATGTTTTCGTTTGCCGATTTGAATAGAATTCTTAAACAAGCATAACGTAATTAGGAATTATATTCAAGTAATTTTGCATGCGTAATTCAGATATTTGATGAAAACACCAGTGAGTGGTGATTTTCATCAAGCTTCACCAGGTTACCCAAATGACATCTTGTGATCAAATAGGTGATTATCATTGGCTGAATTGCTCACGAATTATTAATTAATTTGAGAAACATTTATGAAAATATCATTCAGTTTATAGAGTAAAATAGTTGTTCTAAAAAAACGTGTTCGGAAATTTAATTTTGTTTACTTCGTCATTCTGCTGATATGGCGATTTCTTTGATTACTGCATATATTGCTGAATAGTTTGAGTGAATTGCTCCTTTTCATGTTAAAATATCCAAAATTAAAAAAAAAGCCGAACACAATTTTGAAACTGACGTCTTTAGCTATATATGTCCTGTGAAAATTTAAGAAAAATTGGAAGGAGAATTGAAAATCAGTAAGACAGCATACTTTATTGCCGTAAAATTCTTCCGGAGAAAATTGAATTTGTATATTAATTATACATTTTCAATGTTTTTCTCATTGCAGCGAAATGTATTTTATTAAATAACGCGAGTTTTCTACATTTTTCGTTCAAGCTTGGTCAGATAGTAGAATTAATCCAATGCTTTATATAATATTTAAGTACAGCTCTGATATGGATGAATAATAATATGTTTTTATTATCTTTAGGAGGAGCGAAACAAAGATTTAAAAGAAAATTTTGTTCCAAAAACTACATTAAGTGTTTTGACAATTATAGATACTATAGGAAAACAGTAGAGGGAAATCTTTCTTTCTTGGAGTTGGAGTTGGGGAGAAGATGGGCACTATTTTTATAAAGAATTTAAATAATTATTTATCCAAGAAGTTAAATAACAATTTAAATATTACAACAATATTCGGTCTTTGTGAAATTATCATAAAGATCTTGGCAAGTGTTATTACCAGCCTTCAGCTTTGATTGGAACACTTACCTTGATCTTGGCCTTGGTCCAACTGTCACAAAAGACCCATAAAATAATTGTTTATTTTTTCACCGGCAAAAGCAAACGTGTTTAACATGAATTTTTCCACAGACACGGCTATAGATTACATACACCGATGTCTGTTTCTTCGATTTTTTGAACACTTCTCGTGGCCTTGAAGGCGCTCTGGAAGTTCCTGAATTGTTAAAGACAAATTTCCCTGACCTGGCTAATCTTTATGAAGGTGTAATTATATAATGAACGAACCACTTATTTTAACTCATTTAAAAAAACAGACCTGCTTCAAATATATAAATCTGATCTATTGACAGTGGCAGCCCATTACTATATTGTTTTACATTGTGTACGTATACATTAGCACGAATAATGAAACCCCCCCCGTCGCCAAAAAAATTTCGGTCAGTGTACCATTTTAGGGGTCAAAAAAATTTTCCGGACATACCAAAAATCAACTACTAGCTATAAAAAGCCTGAATCTCATGATTTTCGTACAAAAAGCATATACTATTATTGCCGTAATTTTCCGAATGGCCAACCCGATTTTCCGAATATGTTAATTCTACAAAATTTGGGGGGGGGGGTTAACCACCCCCAATACCCCCTCGCTACGGCCCTGCGGCGCAGCGTTTGAAAAAATATATCCTAAGAGACAAAATATTATTTGTAAGAAAATTTGACAGGTTTATTGACTTTGTTGTTGTTACTTATTTATTTACTTATATTGTATGGTAATGTAATTCAATCAATTAGCGACCATCAGTAAGTGGTCTTTTCTCGAGGTATTCACGCAATCTTGGTTCATTCAGAATTGCTGTGTATAATTTGGTTAGTCCTGGATAGTTGTTCAAGATTGGTGGAACTTCAAGTTGCCCAGCGATAATAAAACCATTTACAAAACAGAAAAAGTTAATGTCCGCGTAGGTTATCTGGAAAATAAATTTTGGCAAATTAAACATTCAGTGGAAGAAAAGTGAAGAAAACGTATATATATACAAGTTTTTACCACAACGTTTCTCTAATCGTTTCTCCAATCCATTTTACTTAACGCATTCCTAAGAGATTCTTATGGATTGATAGATAATACAACGCGCTATGCACCTCCACTTTCAATGTTCAAATGTTGTACCTTACGACCTCTTTTTTTAAAAAGAGCCGTTTTATTAAAAGGGCCTCAGGTACAACGTACATGGCCCGTTATGCTATCTCTCAATCTAAAAGTGTTCCTTAGTATAAGGAATTCTTCTGTCGGCGGGGAAGTATCAAGGGAAAACGATCCAACAATAAGGGGTTGAAGTGATAAAGTACAAGGGGGAATCTTGTGGGTTCACACATAGAACATTTTCGTATTTTTGAGCCTCTGGCTCCCAGGCCAACGACAAATTTGTGACGTAATTATCGAAATGATGTATTGCGAAGGACGTATCTCAACCTGGTTGAGTCGAAGGCTATATCTAACGGCGCCTCTGCAAGCTGGCAGCCTAGGATATAGTCAGTCCAAAACGAGTACGGAGGTCTAATTGTCCGTCCGTCCAGAAGCATGGTCCCTCGGAAAAGTTTTCTATTTTAAGGGCCTACGAATCGCTATTTCATGCAAGTTAGACATGTTGTATACTAAATAATCTGAAAGCTACAGATTTTGTATATTATACACCCCCCTCCCCAGTTTCTCCTCAGTTTTGAAAGATTTTGAAAGAAAAGTGGGGGTACTCCCCCCTGGCTAAGCCTCTGCTGGCAGTCACTTTATGAATCCCTTTGAACATAGGATTAGTTCATTAGACGTTCTCTTTATAAAATCTCAATTATTCATAAATCTAGAGTCTAGACACTGGTCGTTCCTATTATATAAAGAAGCTTTTACATATCCACGGACAAAGTCTACACGACGGGACTACAGTATCGAAAAAACTTGTTATCTTAATTATATTAAATATGTCGTCAGATTTCTTATCAACTATATATCACACCTGATGCATGTATATATAACTTGTAAATTTTTATATAGTTGCGCGCTTTCATAATTCAATTCTCGAGGACTATCATGTCGAAATGTAGAATTATAATAAAAACGAAACTTTTTGAGTTTCCATGGTACTGTATTTTATTAATATTATAAAATACTCAGTGGTTACTGCAAATTTCGTTGAAAAAAATTGTTGCGACATTTTCCAATCTACCCAGAATCAGATAACTATACAGGGTGTCTAAAAAAAAAGTGACACTATAGAAATTATCCTATTGTTATAATTTGAATGCCCTAGCACTAAGTTGATCCCACAGGTGCATAATAAAAAAGCAAACCGTTTATTAGTGTAATCGTTTTGCTTGACTCGGGCGTTAAAATATTTGGACAAAGCGAAAACGTTTTAAAATGCTTAAATGTAAATACAAGTTCATTAAATTCCCATGAAGGCGTGTAATCACGCGCGTTTAAGAGCGGCTTAAGAACAATGAGATAATTTCTATAGTGTCACTTTTTTTTGGGACACCCTGTATATGGCGTACATTTTAAGTCGTAATTAAAAACTAATAAAAAGTAATTAATATGTATACCTTGTCACCAAAGAAAAATGTCTTCCCTTTACAATGCTGGTATAAAATCTTCTCAAAATAGGATAAATTTCGTGGAAAAGAATTTTCTTCAAGATCTTGCTTCACTTTTTTCTAAAGTATATGAAAACAGAACAAAATAAATTTGCTAGACGACTAGACGGTTATTGTAAAAGATAAATTTGCTATGTAATCAGAAAAAGATGGGCACTGTCACTCATAAAATTGTAAAGTATAGATTTATGTTGTTAAATGTTGTTTCAGGCAAATTCTAACTATAATATAATTATAAAGAGGATTTGTTTGAAATGAATATCAATTAAGTTGCAATTGTACTGAAAACGAAGTGGACCAGTGTCTTAAAATGGGCAGCATTTTTTCGTTTTGCTTGGGTGTCACAAATTTGTACTTCTATACAGAACACCTGTACATGGTTACTTATATATGATTACGAAACCGTTTGGGAGCTGGCGATCTATATAGGCAATGTTTTCAGGGCCGTAACTAGACGCGATAATTAAAGTATATTCAAGCATATCCGCGTGTTCTGCCCGACGGATTTCTTTTGAAAGCGATTGTTTTTACGGTATGTGAACATGAATACACTGCAAAAAATCCATTTTCGCTTTGAGTTATTTTAACACATAAATTTGCGTAAAATGCAATGTTTACTCAGTTTAAGAGTATTTTTACTCGAATATGCTGAGTATACTCAGTAAACTCAAACACCTGAGTAAAATATTTTGAGTAAACCACTATTGTTTACGCAGTTATAATCGGTAAAATTACTCATTTGAGTAAGTTGCTTCATATTTACTCGTTATTCTCGAGTAGAATCGATGTTTTACTCTAACATTGAGTTAATATACTTTCCAGACTGATCGAGTTACTCAAAGCTGAGTAAAGACTGCGAATCTACTCAATGTGAGTAGAATGTACTGGTCACTCATGGTTTGAGTATTTTTACACCGGTAAATTTTTGAGTAAGAAATATCGAGTAAACACCACCAGCTACACAAATGTGATGAGTAAATTTTCTCAAAGGGTAAATTTACTCAAAGACCGTATCAAACAGTTTCCTCAGTGACTCAAAACTTGTGAGTAAATTGACTACAATACTCTTCACATGAGTCAACTCAGCATCGGACAACCGGCTTTACTCACAAATAGCAGGACAAATAGCATCGATCAAACATCGGCAAGAAATTGCTCGGTGAATAAATGTGATCGACTCATCGACGAAAGTCGGCAATAAGTCATGGCTGCCGATCATCATGTGATCGGGAACTTTGGGACTAGGTTATTTCAAGTCCTGATTCCTGAATAGAGTAATTCGTCATCTATATTCATCACACGATAACAACGTTGAACC